TTTAAAACCCTTGAAGACATATCCATTCATTTTTCTCTCGAGTCTTATGGCTCCCTGCTTTTCTCATCTTGGAGTTTGACTCCCCTTCTCTACCTCCCAGTTTGTGTCCAGGTGACACGAGTGCATTTTCTCCTCAGGATCGGTTCTTAGCTCAGCCTAAGGAAACAAGGACGACTCGGTCAGGAGGGGCAGGTAGGGGATAAAGCCACCAGCTGTAACTGGTCTCCCTGGATTGTAGCCCAGTGCAATATTCAATAGTCCCCCACATTAACACCCTGCCACAAGCATATGCAGGCGGCTTCCAAACTGCTATTTGTAACCTAGTTTTAGCACCGGAGTGATGTCATGATGGGAAGTAGCAACAGATTCCCTCACCCGGTCGATTCCTCTTATCAGAAAATACATTCACCCCTGTGAATGGGTCATGTTCCTCATCCCTCCATTAGAGGGCGCTCCAACACTTTTGTATTTTAGCTTTGTTCCGTACACTTGTCCCTGGTTTTTCCCTGCATTAATTCAATACGTGTCTCCGAAGCTCTGCTCTCAGCACTGGAAGACGGAGAGACCCGACAGCATAGGCTTCAGAACGGCATCCTGACCATCCGAGTCTGGGGCTCTGATCGCCTGGCTCCATTATGATATTATCTGCTGTGTTCCTGGATTCCTATTCCCTGTGTTTGTCTTTGAATCTCCCGGTATCGGATTTTGGACTGCGCCCTGTTTTTACCCAACTGGACTCCCCCCGGATCACTGCCGTCACCTCCCTGTCTGTCATCCCGTCCTTTTCCAGCTGTGTTTTCCCTGTTGTCCTTCTCCAGTCACTCTTGGATTATACTGTCTGCATAGGGTCCTAAACAACACACTTTCTGGGAGTCAGGACCGGCTCCCGTGACACAATGGTTGTGTTAAGAGGGCAGTGGAGATCACTTTCCTCTGCAAGACTTTGACAAACCATAAAAGTTGTCTTTGGCAATGATACGTGAAGCATTAGAAGTGAATATACATGTGTCATCAAATATGACTCTTGTTACGACCCCCTAATTTGGCTCACTCAGTCACTAGGGGATGAAGAATCCATGAACATAAAACATTAAGAAATAAAATTGATTTAAACACCAGGACCTGTTTCCCAGGAGGAGACATACGGTGACAAGACAACTGGGGGTGACACAGGTATCGGTTCATTTCTGTCCGTCATTAATACCAAAACAGCAAACACCAATTTAAAGGTGTATGAGATCTAATAGTGAGTCCCTGAAAAGAAAAACAAGAAAAGAAACTACACTGTCATAAAGACAAAGCAACTAACCTAACTGACTCCAGCCCAGAAAATAAAAGTGGCAGAGCCAAAGAAAGGTCTTCCGCAATCTAACTCACTCCCCTACTCTAAACTATCTCCCATCAATTACAACACAGGGACACCACCACACTGACTGACAGAAGGGCATCTAATGAAGCCCAAGAGAACATGAAGACAACACAAGAACACCCAGTAAACAAGACAAACCACTGGAGCACATAAGCAGTAGCTGCCTAACAAAAGCCCACACTCACATCTGCATTAATTGGTTACAAGTGAGCACGAACATACCCTAAACTCCACACAACAAGGCCAAGAGAGACGCTCCGCTTCTACTTGGTTGTAAAGTGGGAGAGAAGCTCCGACGTCAAGCCAGAGGAAACTGGAATGTATTTAGAGATGAGAGCTGGGGCCAGCACCTCAATATCCAATAGCAAAAAGGGAAGTGCTTTCCACCCAGATTAATCCAATTAATCAAACAAACTATGGATCGAAACACAATCCTGATGTAGAGAGAGAGAGAGAAAAGGAAAAAATAAACATGGCCAACCTAGGGCCGTGACGCTCTCATAGACTAAAGAGTGTCAAGTGTCTTCCCCACATGGAGAGGGCCTGTCCCAGCCTGCTTTGTCCCAGTGGACTCAGCTCTGGTCTGTTCTCTCTCATGGGGATCCTGTCTCTGTCACGATGATTAAGGCTCCTCCTGTTCTGCTCTGGGCTGCTCTCTGTTTCACTGTCTTCTGAACACTTCATTGATTGTTGCATCAGACATCTGTTCTCTCTCCACAGCAGTGGGACACATGGGGGACCCCAAACCTCAAACCTCACCCCACCCCCAAGTTGCCTGGGAAGATCTATTAAAATGTTCACCTTCTAGAACCCCTGGTCTTGTAGGGGCTGTGGGGGCGTCTCCTGTTTGTTTCCACATGAGGCTGAACTGACTGGAACTCCTTCCCCTCACATGTGATCAAGGGGTCCCCCTGTCTCTTAGTTGCCAGCAAAGAGCAGGGCAGCTCCAGACACAGTGAGGGGATCAGGAACAGGGGCTCCCAGCACTGGTCCTGGGGGACCCCTGTGTCTTCTGTTCCTCCTGTTCCACTGATGGTCTTCCTTGTAAGGTCATTGATTTCAGTTCTTTTTTACTGCATCCTGGGCAATGTTGCCCCCGCATTCCCCCCAGCGTCCGCCCCGTCAACCGCCTGGCCGGGCGTCACGGGGGTCAGCTCCGGCACGCTCGCCCCGACACCCGCGGCTCCGACAGGCCCCGGCGACACCCGCCGTTGCCGCCTCCGCTTCCCGCTCCAGTCAACCCGCAAGCCCTGGACACCTTCAACCCCACCCGCTGCGAGACTGATTCGTTCCCCCTGCCCCAACAACTCTCGCCGGCCCAAGTCAAGGCAACCAGCCACCTGCTGCAACCAGTCCAACCCCAGGATACAGTCCTCACGGACTGGGGCACGGTACTGTAGAAGGGGTGTTTCACCCTCGCAGCCCCAAACCGCACGGTGAGCACCCGCTTGCTGAGGACCTCTGCGTACTGCCCCGTCACCGTCCTCAGGGGCAGGC